CATTCAAAATGCTCCTCTCCCTGCAGAACACGTGGGTTTCGTGGGCTTTGAGCACATACAGGAGAAGGACTGTTTGGCGGAAGGTGTACTCATGTCCTTCTCTCGCCAAACAAACGGACACACAGCTCCCCCCGCTCCCCCATCCAGTCTCCTCTCCGCAGGCCTGTCTGCTGAAAGGCACCCACCGCCCGGGTTCTGTGGGGGGAGGGGAGTGCTCCCCACGGGTGGAGGGGGGTGCCTGGCCGGTGGGGTCTCTGCACGCCCCACCACTGAGTTATGAAAGCTCTCTTCCCCGCACAGGTGTTTGTTTAGTCGTGGTTGGTAAGAAGGCAGGAGGGAGAGAGGAGGAGGGAGAGGAAGAGAAGAAAAAGGGGAGAAGAGAGAGTCCAGCAAGACAGGGCACGAGAAAGGCAGAGACAGAGACAGGCGAGAAGGAGAAAAAGACTCAGAGGAGGGACCGGAAGCCCGGCCAGTGGCTCAGTGGTTAGTGTCAGCCTATGAACCAGGAGGTCATGGTTCGATCCCCAGTCAGGGCTCCATCCCCAGTGTGGGGCGTGCAGGAGGCAGCCGATCCATGATTCTCTCTCATCATTGATGTTTCTCTCTCCCTCTCCCTTCCTCTCTGAAAGCAATAAAAAAATTTTTAAATAATTTTTTTAAAAAAAACAGAGAGAGAGAGAGAGCGAGCGAGCGCCAGGACGGTTAATATTTATTGAGCATTTATTGTCAGAAAGGGGGGATGCCCGAGACCCGCCCTCTCCTCAGGTTTGTGTGCGCTGCAGCTGGGGGGGCTGTGATGACCGATGGAGCAGATAGGCTTGTAGGTCAGCCTATTCGAGGGACGGAGGGTGTGAGCTGCCACGCTGGGCGGGGCCTGCAGCCGGGTGCCTGCCTGCCTGCCTGGAGGTGGCGCTCTGGCAGCTGTGGGTGGGGGTGGCGGCTGGTGCCGCAGCTCCTGATTTTCCAGGAACACCTGGAAAGCCACGTTTTTATGTGAAGTCATTCTATTGTGTCAATGGCCTTTGTTTTGTAGGTGTTTTTCATAGACTTGATTTCTTAGTGTTTCATTCTATTTCCAAAAGTTCCACATCCTATTCAAGTGCTTCCCAGCTGCCCTATAGCCGCACAGCAGCCTGCGGTTTGGGCCGGCTGGCGGTCCCCGGTCCGTGTCCAACCTCCTGCCCAGAGGAAGTGACAGGCTCTTGAGGGCACAAGACAAATAAATTGGTAGTTACCACACCTGTGATAAGGGTGATGACAGACGTGAGTCCCGGTGAGTCAGCGCCAGAGGAGGGGCGGCTCCCGCAGCTGGCAGGTGCGAATCCGGGAAGGCTTCTTGGAGGAGGGTGACCACGGAGCTGATTCCTGGGAGGTGAGTGGGAACAGGTTCCAGAAAGATTCTAATGAGGGCGGGGACTTCTCTTATTGCCTTCCAGGTGTTGAACATGCTGTTAACAGCCCTACACCCATCTTGTTGAACCAGCATTGTTATTCTGGTTTCTAAGCAGAGGAGGCTGAACCCGGCCGGCGTGGCTCAGGGGTTGAGCATGGACCTATGAACCAGGAGGTCTCCGTTCGATTCCTGGTCAGGGCACAGGCCCGGATTGCAGGCTTGGTCCCCAGTGTGGGGCGTGCAGGAGGCAGCCGATCCATGATTCTCTCTCATCATTGATGTTTCTCTCTCCCTCTCCCTTCCTCTCTGAAAGCAATAAAAAAATTTTTAAATAATTTTTTTAAAAAAAACAGAGAGAGAGAGAGAGAGAGCGAGCGCCAGGACGGTTAATATTTATTGAGCATTTATTGTCAGGAAGTGGGGATGCCCGAGACCCGCCCTCTCCTCAGGGGTGTGTGCGCTGCAGCTGGGGGCTGTGATAACCGATGGAGCAGATAGGCTTGTAGGTCAGCCTATTCGAGGGACGGAGGGTGTGAGCTGCCACGCTGGGCGGGGCCTGCAGCCGGGTGCCTGCCTGCCTGCCTGGAGGTGGCGCTCTGGCAGCTGTGGGTGGGGGTGGCGGCTGGTGCCGCAGCTCCTGATTTTCCAGGAACACCTGGAAAGCCACGTTTTTATGTGAAGTCATTCTATTGTGTCAATGGCCGTTGTTTTGTAGGTGTTTTTCATAGACTTGATTTCTTAGTGTTTCATTCTATTTCCAAAAGTTCCACATCCTCTTCAAGTGCTTCCCAGCTGCCCTGTAGCCGCACAGCAGCCTGCGGTTTGGGCCGGCCGGCGGTCCCCGGTCCGTGTCCAACCTCCTGCCCAGAGGAAGTGACAGGCTGCTGAGGGCACAAGACAAATAAATTGGTAGTTACCACACCTGTGATAAGGGTGATGACAGACGTGAGTCCCGGTGAGTCAGCACCAGAGGAGGGGCGGCTCCCGCAGCTGGCAGGTGCGAATCTGGGAAGGCTTCTTGGAGGAGGGTGACCACGGAGCTGATTCCTGGGAGGTGAGTGGGAACAGGTTCCAGAAAGATCCTAATGAGGGCGGGGACTTCTCCTCTTGTTGCCTTCCAGGTGTTGGACAGGCTGTTGACAGCCCTACACCCATCTTGTTGAACCAGCATTATTATTCTGGTTTCTAAGCAGAGGAGACTGAACCCGGCCGGCGTGGCTCAGGGGTTGAGCATGGACCTATGAACCAGGAGGTCTCCGTTCGATTCCTGGTCAGGGCACAGGCCCGGATTGCGGGCTTGGTCCCCAGTGTGGGGCGTGCAGGAGGCAGCCGATCCATGATTCTCTCTCATCATTGATGTTTCTCTCTCTCTCCCTCTCGCTTCCTCTCTGAAAGCAATAAAAAAAAATTTTAAATAATATAAAAAAAACAGAGAGAGAGAGAGCCAGGACGGTTAATATTTATTGAGCATTTATTGTCAGGAAGTGGGGATGCCCGAGACCCGCCCTCTCCTCAGGGGTGTGTGCGCTGCAGCTGGGGGCTGTGATAACCGATGGAGCAGGAGCACTTGTAGGTCAGCCTATTCGAGGGACGGAGGGTGTGAGCTGCCACGCTGGGCAGGGCCTGTAGCCGGGTGCCTGCCTGCCTGCCTGGAGGTGGCGCTCCGGCAGGTGCCGCAACTCCTGATTTTCCAAAATCAATAAGAACATATTTTTTTTTTAAAGCTGTATCTTTAAAAAAAGAGGAGGAAACAGGCACAGAGAGGGTGAGGAGCTTGTCCCAGGACACACAGCCCACACGCAGCTCTACTGTAGAAAGCTCCATGGAAGAGCCGCAGGCCGTGTCCGGAGGCCGTGGGGCACGCTAACAGGACTGCAGGCAGCGCAATGCAGCTGACCCTCGAGACGTATGAAGGAGAGAGAGAGAGGCCCTGAGGCTCAGAGGTCACACAACCCCTGCTCCTCTCCCCGCCCCCACTCTATAGGAGAGGACATGGAGGACATGGAGGCCCAGAACGTCCCTCACTTCCCCAGGTCACACGGGGGGGGGGGGGGGGGGGGGGGGGGGCC